AGCCCCCCCCCCCCCCCCATTTATCCCCTTGACTTTCCGATTGCGGCTTATCCAAAGTGTATATAACATGGCTAGTCATCAAACAAAAGCTCAAGGTCTCAAGAAATGACTCGTTGCTTTTGATGCTCTAGTCCAAGTATAGGAAAAAAAGTATGTATAAAGTATTACATACTAGCTGTTTGGCGAAAAAAAAACGCTAAAATATGAAAGTTTGACGACGAAAATGAGTTAAATAGGGATATTGTGTCGCAAGAAATGAGGGAGTTAGCAAGGAAATCGCAATTTTGTCAATTAGGCAATCAATCAGTTAGAGTCATTGTCTGAAACCATTCACCTTGAAATAGCCCAAAAACTGGCATCAAGTTGAAGCCCAGGCCTATTAAGCGCTTATTTAATGACCCAACTATAAGTAGGGACGAAATTGCATGAACCAATGGAGAGATCTAGCTACCCAGTTAACCATTCTCAAAATCAAATAGGTCGATTTAGCACAAAAATCTGATCAGTGATTACGTGAATGATGCTGGAAGAAGAGGTAATGTAGGTACGGAGGAGGCTGGGAGAAAGCTGGTAAATCCGAACGAGACGAAGGAGGCTAGGAAGGTGAGAAATGCGTTTTTCAGGATCGTAAGCGACCCAGGCCAGACAAGCCTCCAGGACCACCTGCTCAGAGCGCACCTCGAGATCGTCCGCGGAGAGGTAGGATTCCACACTTTTCAATGGAAGCTGCAGCCACTCGCCCATCGCAGATTCCTCGGGATTTACCAAACTGTGAAAGCAACGCAATTTGTAATAACTGCTTTACTTTTACCATATTGTCACGCAATAATTTCGTTTGCCCAGTATCCAAAAATGGTGTTTTTACAGAACCGTGAAAGCACTTCTAAGACTTAACGTCATTTAATGCCCGACGTTAAGCTTAAGGCCGTAGTGCAGAAATATTAACAACTGAAAATGAAAAACGACAGACTCCACGCCTATTACAGAGGCACGTCAGCGGTATTTCAGAAATGTGCTCTGTTATATGATTTCGTGTAAATTGGTTTTCCTATCACAACAACTTTTGGTAAGTTATGAAAGATCAAGTCACAGAGTAGCCTCAGAACTGAGCATCAACAAACTATAGAAAAATGATTTGAGAATTAAAGTAAACATTCCTAATCCAGATGAAATCTCGAGGAAGATACAAAGCGAAACCCATTTGTATATATTATTTCGGTAAAATAGACATGATGGATTTTCGAAGGAATTTTACCCCGTCTCATGAGCAACACTCTACAAGGTAAAGGGGCAAGGCGAGAAAATAATTTCAAATCCCATACCATTCGTTGAAGTGCGTTGCAGTTTTTATAAGTAATTTGAGACCGAGAAAGACCTACGTAGAGAAATTTTCCGTAGCCATAATGCGAGCACTCTTGGCCAAATCGGGGAACTCATATATTTCTGCAAGTAATTGGACTCCGAGGCAGTTAGAGACGTGAAGATGGTTCTTCATGAAGTCAATACAGGCTTCTACAGCCAAAGGATAGTCAAGAAAGTTGGCTCCAATGAAGATGTCCTGAACAACAGTAGTGCTAAGCGATAGGCGCCCGGTGTAGGCGAAATCAATTAGGTGCCGCAGTACCCAAGGAGAAACCTGTTTCAGATTTACTCGGGACGTCTGTTGTTCCGAAAATGGAGTTAGAAACATGGCCTTTAGAGAAGAAACGGAAAGAAAATAAATAATTAAAATCAGTAGAATTGCTACAAAAGGACGAAGACATTGCTTCGACATGAAAACCGCATACAGCAAAGGATTCTGCAAATTTGTGGAAGACCCAAAAATACAGCATTTGATGCGGCAAAAACGTTGTGCGTATAAGTATCGAAAAAAAAACAAGCAATGAGAAATGAGATACGGATTGAGGACTACATTCGCAGAGACCAAGATCACTTCCAATTAAAGAAAATTAAGCTTAAAAGGAGTGAGTGTTAATATCCAGCAATGTAATTACTGCATTAATGCTAACGTCGGACAAAAAATGATGAGTGGCAAACATTTAGCTAGTGAGATAGCAAGAACATTCAGTTATTAAAATGAGAGAACTAAAAGCCTGCCAAAACATTCAAATAACCAGACTCAACAGTAGCAATCAAATAATTAAATATGACTAAATATACTCAACCTGTAAAACTTGAAACAAAAAAGCCGAATAGAGAAGAAGAGTTCAACTTTCTCACAACAAATTTCTACAAACATTAGCAAAATATCATCTTTTTCACCAATAAGTAGGAGTTTCTGCAATGACGCAAAAATTCCATCTTCTTAAGGTAAAAATACCCGAGGAGTGAAGAATGAGATGAAACCTACATTAAAATAACGGGAACTGGCGGCAAGTACCACTTTGTGGCAGGGGAACTCTTCCTCCGATGCACACAAAATCACATCTGTGTAAAGGCCTTTTTGACGACATTCTTGAAGACCGTGTAAGAGTGATGCAACCTGCTTGTGAATACAATTTTCCCTAAAACGTTTCTCGTTAAAGAACTCCGCCTCAGTAGATTTGTCTCCAGTATGAGACTTGCTCATAGCTTCGAAAGATGGGGACAATGCCACAAGCTGATTGGTTCGTACATTTGTTGCAATTAACCGCTTGTGTAAAAAACCATTGTAAAAATAAACTGTAGGAGGCAAAATTTTTGCAACAGTAAAATTATGGTTCACTTTGCCCATCGAAAGCTTAAATAGCATGCTTGCAAAATGAGTTGCTTGTTGCTAGGTCTAATCATTGCCAAAACATCTGCCATGACCAGGAAGTGCTTTTGTCGCAAAACACATGAATTTTTGCAATGAGAACGCTAAAACTGTTGGGTTGTATTTTTACAAAGAGGAAAATGTTGTAGTTTCTGCAATGGTTGGCCTGCTTTTTATTTGGAAATAAAGCCAATTATGAATAAACCTTCATTCGCTCCTGCGAAAGAAAGCAGTGTACCGTCCCGAGGCTTCCCACAGGATGGGAGAAGGCATAAATGGGGTTAAATACATGTATTCGGAGGACGGCAGGACAAATAGGCCTGGACATGGCCTGAAGGCCAGCCCACGTGTACAGGGTCAAACAAATTCTAAAGTTATCACCAAACGTCAGGTAGACATATAAACAAAGAATTACAGTGCTCCTCTCTCCTTTTAAACGGCATCTTCGACGTTCCTCTTTGGTGCCCCTCCCGTGCCAGTCATTACAACATATTCGGTACCAAATGTAAGCACCCACGAGCTAACCGCGCCAGTCGACAGACCACGAAACTGAGGAACCGTACCTGGTCTTCTCAGCAGCTTCAACAGGATCTGTTGTTACGTTCGGTCTGACAACCAGATTCGGGGCCGCATAACCTCTCGACCTTCAATTGCTTCCAGGAATTGACTGTGGAACCCTGGTCTAAAATATATCTGTTACAGGGAAAACAGGATGAGCCACTGTCTCGTATGTAAGGATAACCATAGTGTCACTTCCGACACCTAAACACGGATTTTTTTATGGGAAATTCCGACACGAAACTTTTCCAGGTGGTTCATGGCGGTGTCGCTTCAGTTATTAATAGCTTGTCTGTGGGACGTGGGAAAAAGGTGAAACCAATTTCAGACGTCAATCTAGATTCTTCCGCTATGAAGGATTAAGGGATTCTACGTCACCAATGTAAATGCGCCTCCTTCAGTTCACGTCCCATTTTGCCTGTATCTTCATCTACTGCACTTCCACAGATTCAGACTTCCTTCTATCCATGCATAGCTCATGAATGCCGGTGCACAACGCCCAAATGCGCTTATTAATATTGGATTTCCTCACTAAAAGTTAGAATTCCTTTGCAGTCTTGTCTGCCGGTCGGATTATAACCTTCTTGTCGTGAAAAGAGAGGTTTCGACTTTCCGGTTAGGAGAACCCGATGTTGGAGTATGTTCATGCATTGAACCAGTGCATCATCCGATCGAACCATTGCTCTTCGACCTGCTCGTACTGTTCTTTTCCGCAAATCAGTCGATTAATTGGCAACGCAAACGTAGGATGTCAGTAAGACAGTGGTGTTGTTGGACAGATTTTCCTGGACACTATGTCGCTTTTAACAAACGACCGACGAAGAACAAGCCGCAGAGAGACCCCACCTCGGTTGCAACAGGTCTTTAAAAGCGCTTTAAACCAAAATGTCATTAAAGAAATGTTGGGTTCGCTTTCCGCTGCCACCAGTGCAGCGTCTCGAGGCAATCCATAAGGTGGAAGAAGGTATAAGTGAGGTTGAACACATGTATTCTGAGGACGACAGAACAAATTGAAAAAACTAAAGCACGACGGAGGTGTTGTAAGACCGTTGAGGTTTTAAGGTTTTTTCGCCAGGCCAAAGAATGTATGAGGTTGGGCTGAATGCAGGCAAGGCTTTAGAAGCAGGGTAGTGAACAATGTGACCACTATCCATGCACATACTCAAACAATACGGCACGTTACACTCCTCCTTTTTGAGCTTAGTTCTCGGCGCTATTTGAGGTGTATGTATTTGGATATACTCGCGAGCCTACTGCGCTACTCATCGGCTCCTCTTCAAAGGTTGCTAGTCTGCTTATTCAATTGTTAGTTTGATTGACATACACCCTGCCAAACACATTGCTTTTATTCTCGGGTTATTATAGGGAGCTTTACCATTGTAATACTTTGTTTGCGTGACCATCTGATGTTTGTCAAACTTAATCCCTTTGCTCTCCGTAAAATACATGCATTTAGCTTCACTTTGCGCTTCTTTTTTGCCCGGTGGGAACTCCAGAGACGCTATTTTATCGGTGTTTGTCTAGCTGGAAGTCATAAGTTTAATAGATGCTAGTGTGGTTAAGTTTGCCCCAATAGGGGAGAGGCGGGAAATCAATTTGTACAGGAATACAGTGCGTGAGAAGTGTGAAGATTCCTTCTCAGGGTGACATCGACCTTCCGTCTCGTCATTTTTCTCCTATTTCCTTTCTCTCTGTACACGATGTCGGATTAAGCCTCCTCAACTAACCCTATTCTAAAGTTCTAGGTTCAAGGGACTGAGGGTAGGCAGGCAGGCTCTATAATAGGCGACCATAAATGTCTTGTTATGAAGGATTATTTTGACCACCTAACAAGTACACGTAAGTAGCTATTTGCGAAACCAACTGCAACGCATCTGATGTTTGCTTTATGTCACGGTCATTTGCTAGAAAGGCTAGCCATCGAGTGAGGCTAGCAGCACAAACATTTTATTTTAGGTGGATATGTTCATCCTTGCATATATGCTTTCATAGTGTACAAATAAAAACGATTCTGGTAAAAGTGCGGGATCGCAATGTAAAACTTTGGTTGTGACCATCTGAGGTTTGACGGTCACTTTAAGATTCGTCTGGTCCTTGTACGTGTAGGCTGACCTTCGGGCCACGCTCGGGCCAAATTACTTTGTTCTCCTTGGAATACACGGACTTAAGCTCTACTTACCGCTTCTTCTACCCAATGGAAAGTCTCAAGACGCTACACGCAAAACGGTACAATTATTAAATGCTCATTTTATTAAAGCACATCTGAGAGTATGATGCTTCGCACTTTTGAGGTCATTTGTGTGACCATAGTGATTCTGCTCAATGCCTGAGCCGCTTCCTTTTTTCTACACATTTGTATTCGAATCAAGTGCGGTATCCTTCTCCCTCACCTATAATGGAGACTCGGCGCAGTATGGTTGTGGTATCAAGAGTCAAACCCGACATTATATTGGCCTCCTCACCACTCACTACAAGTTCATGTGAGGCAAAGAAGAGTATACATTTCATGTGGGAGGAACTCAAATTCCTTTACAATTTAAGGACTGGGAAAGAGTCTACGTTTACCATCTGCCACATTTCCGTGTTATGCAAGAAAATTATGGACAGAGGAACCGATGCTTTCATGAATTAATCGCACAGATATTGCTTCGAAGTTTTCCCCGTTAAAAGCGCATAGAGATCAGCATTTCGAAATTCTACGCAACTCTATCCACTTGCTAATTTCACACTCTCCTTATGAAATCGGTATTTGGGCAAGTATCTTAACATCCAGTTATAAATGATTTCTAAAACACGGCTTTTACCTTGTAAGGAACTCCTAGACTTGGGGCCATGTCAAAATCAGAGTCGGCGCAAAATCGCAGCAATATATAGGTTAAATCCCAGAATTATACAGATGTCCACATAAGTGACAAAATGAAAATCATGTTATACGACTTTGAGTAAATTAGATCTTAGGTGAAAAACAAAGAAAATGTTATTCACTTCTATGCATTATGGTAAAATTTTGACTAAAACCAAAGTAAAGCTAAAGTATCAAGATTAGGCACCGTAATGCTTTGCTTAAGTGACCACATGAAGTCTGGCAATCACTTTGGGGTTTGTATGGTCCTTGTACTCGTGGGCTGACCTTCGAGCCATGCTCAGACCCATTTTCTCCGTTTCCTTCGGAATACATGTATCCAGTCTCACTTGCTGCCTTCATCCACCCTATGAGGAGTCTCGGGAGGCTACATTGGTGGCAGCGGAAAGCAAACTCGACATTTTCCCAACGACTTCTATCCTAGCACGCAATGGTTGTTACATGTATCTACGGCTTAGAGGAGGCCTATTTACACCGGTGACGGAGAACCTGTACATTTGGCTTCACCTTATTCCCATGTTCCACAGACAAGCTGTTAACAACTGAAGCGACACCACCGTGAACCGTTTGAAAATGTTTCGCGTAATATTTTCTCCTACAACATCCGTGTATAAGTGTCAGACATGATACTACGGTTCTCCATATATGGGAGACAGTAGCTAATCCCGCTTTCACTGCAACATATCTGTTTTAGACCAGAGTTCCACCGTCTATTCCTGGAAGCAATTGATGGTCAACACATTTATGCAGCCCCGAATGTGATTGTTAGATCGAACGTAATTCCAGATCCAGATGAAGCTGCTGAGGAAACCAGGTACGGTTCCTCAGTATCATGGAGTTCGCTCGTGGGTGCTTCCATACAGTGCCGGATATGCTGTGATGACTGGCGCGGCAGGTGCACCAAGGGGAGCGCCGAGGACGCTGCTCAAAAGAAGAGGGGCAGTGTAATGCTTTGTTTATGTGACCACATGACGTTTGGTGGTCGCTTTAGAATTTGTTTGGCTCCTGTACATGTAGGCCGGCCTTCGGGTCATGCTCAGACCTATTTGCTCTGTCCTCTTCGGAATACATGTATCCAGCCCCACTGCCTTCTTCAATCCTATGGAAAGCCTTGAGGTAATATGGGCACAAAAGATGTTAAGTGTCTTTTTGGTCTGTAAAAATTTCAATTATTTATGCTTGATGAATCATAAAAATGATGAGCTACAATGTTCCAATTCAAAATGCAAAAGTAAGTTTGTCAAATGCAAAAAAGTTATATGTATTTAGGCTAGCAAGTTTTGACGTGCATTGATTTTTAGTTAATATTCTACTTTCTAATAAAAAATTTCTTTTGTTTCACTATGTCAACTGTAAACATGATCGGCCTTGAACGTTATACAACTTGTACACCGCTTATTTGTTCCCCTTATCAATCACCGTATTGTTAACATGAACGATGATCTTGAACATATAGGAGACTCCATGGATATATTCGCAAACGAGCCAATGGACTTAGAGCAAATTAAGCTAACGCTTGCTGTTATGCAACTAGATCCCGCCGATAGAGCAGTTATTCGTGTTGCTGGTAAGCAGATACTTAAACCGTTTTTTTAGCAAGGTTGTTCTATTTTTTATTCTTATGTTTCTTTGGATTGCAACTGACCCTTTGGCATAAATTTTGCATAGGCCTGCTAATGTTTCCTTGCCTATTATTGGCTGAGGTTGTTGCGATATCCCCGTAGCGAATCAATTTTTTCGTTGCTGAAACTTTTAACTTTTATTTTTTAAATAGGTGCTTTTGAGCCATAATATAAGCCGTGTTGATGAACCATTTCAAATATTGTAGATCAAAGAGATGCGATGCAAAAACGTGCTTTCACAATCTGGGTCAACAAGCACTTGTCAGAGGTGCGTTGCGTGCAATATTGCCTATTTATCAGTTGTTATGGTGCTAACTATAGTCCTCATGGATATAACTACCATTGAAGACTTTTCACAATTTTAAGTTATTTTCTGGTGGTGTCTGTCCATCTTTTTCATTTGATTTCATGTTTTACATTTTCTTAGCCAACATCCTTTAGTCTTGTGTTCTGAATGAATACTAACCAGGAACGATCCGGTTAGGTGTCACTGAAGGTTATAAATATTTAAGGGTTGTGCTTTTTAAGTGCTCTCTTTTGTTTGCTTTAATGGAGAAGAACTTACTGTTTGTTGTGCTCCCTTTGTGTTACTTTTTACTATTTATTACTTCGATAAGTGAAAAGGTCAAAATCTCAGTAGCGGACCATTAAATGTTGCATCTTGACTTGCAATTTAGATTAAGAAAGGCACAAGTACTTTGCTCACTTACCATTTCAGGCTTCGTTGTTGTAATAGGAGGCCATTTTTACGTGATAAAACGACAAAACACCAATACTGGCTGGGATTTACGTTGAATGCTTTTATTTCAATGCCTTTATGATTATTAAGTGGATTACAGACACAGAACACTGTGAATAGTTTAACAGAGCTATTGGAGCGAACCATTACAACTAATGCTGCATGCCTGAGGAGTAAATTTAGCGATCAAGCAAAAGGGCTTTGTTGAATAGAAGCGTTTATTTCGTTTAGCATGCTTATTTCTCAAAAATAAACGTTCTCTTTTTGTAACTTAATCCCTGAGCTCAGGCGTGCGTATAAATTTTACTTATCTTAATTCAGCATTTAATGGTGACATTCAGTCTCCATAATGCATCAGTCCCAATTATATAGCTCCTCTTTGTCTTGTAATCAAATCTTTGTAAACTCTCCGGTTCACTTCATTGCGTTATGGTAAACAAAGCGACGGATGGAAAGTAACCTCTAATGCATTTAGCTTTCTCACACCTTTTTACCGCCGACGTAAAATCACACTTCATTGGTACAAAACCGCAAATAATGATGCAAAGATACATTTATTAGTGATTTATCAAACTTTTGTCTCTTTGTATGTAGTTGGTGTAAAGGACTCGATGCAGAGCTTTTCCATCCCAATGCTGTTCAGACTACTACCACACAGTTGGTCACTTCGAAGCATAATTTTCTTATCAAAACTATTTCGCGAAATTTTTTCCTAGCATGTTTTTACTTTTTGACCCAATTAGTGAAATTGGATCGGAGCTCTATAATAGCTGAAATAACTATTGAAACTGGGCATTGGTACGGTGAGTCCCCGATTTCCAGAAAACAACGTTTCTCGCTTCCATGGATTCTAACTGCGACTTGTTCAGAGACTATTTCTACCGCTCAGTCATGCTGTTTTGTCGAATTTATCTGAACACAAAGTAGCACTGCCTATTTTATGCATCGCAGCTGCAAGTAATAACAATGCCGACGTTCATCAAATAACCAGTGTTGACTGTGAGTCGTCTGTAAAACATCAGCTTTATTTCTGCCCGTATCGGGCATGACTAGGCTAGAAGAGAGAGTGACTAAGTCATTTCGCAGACCCGATTCCTTCGCCAAAGGTGGGCTCGCATGAACACCGTTTTTACTCTCAATACACCGGGGAAGTACTGATTTTTGTGGGATATTTTTGATCGAAACAACTTATATTTACGGCCCTTAATGTGTCTTATTCGATTCCACCTTAGTTGCTCTAACGGTGCATCTATTATTCACTGTTGCAATCACTTCCAAAACTCACTTTGGTGACGCTATTTTATGTAATTTGGCCCGAAGCCAGCGTTAAGTAAATAAATGTCTTGCTATTCCTTGTGTCTCTAACTGGTTGTGCATGAGCATACGCACGTGAAATGAACTTGCAGGGTCTTCAAAATTTGTGTTAATCTCCTACCTTAAAAATCTGCTACAGCGTCAGGTTAGTAAAGTAAATGCCTCACCTCATCCGCTCGTGTTCTCAATAATCAGAGGCCACCCAGTTCATTTCCTTGAATCCAGAGGGGCTCACTCACCTGTCTCAACAAGACCGAACAGAGGTATTTCATTTACCCAACGTAAACGACCCTCCAGTTCACTCATTCCTGTTCATACAGAAGGCTTTCCTTCTGCACAGCAAGGATGGTGGTAGGCATTGCCAATTATCACAGGCATGTGCATGCGCGCATGGTCTGGTTTAGATCAGAAACTGGACGTGTTGAGGAGGCACGTGCGCACGCCCACTTGACCAATGGGCGCCCACCATCGACTGTACACATTCTGGTCTTTTAAATGCCCAGCTTAGAGGAAGCAAAAGCAAAGCAGCTTCATACCATTCTATGTAAACCTGTTGGATAGGGTGCATATGTGAAATGTAGGCACAATTGATTGAGTCTGTGTCCCACTCTCCTTTATTAGCGTGGGGTATATGCAAGCATGATCGTGTTATGTGATTGTGAGGGCGTGACAAGTTGTGTGCAAAAATGGCTTTAGTGTCGTATTCGTAAGTTGTTACTAAACTTTAACCACTGAGATTTTGGCACCATAAGTTATGGAGCAGTAAAAAAGCATGTTACCGGTGTAAGTGAACGACACAACCGACATAGGTTTTCTGTGGAATGGGTGTTCTGCCAAGTGTTCTTTAATCCCGTTACCATGGTAACGAAATGCAGGAAAAGATGATGAAGTGCGATTTCTCTCGACGCATTCAAAGTAAGTGTTGTCGGTTAACAAATTTGGATGGATGCATCTCTGCTGTGAGCAGAACAGAGTGCGAATTTGACTGATTTCCTTTGGCTATAAATGAGGATGATGGCTAATCGTGATGCTTTAAATGGTAGGCAGCCTGCGTTTGACTACGCTACACGACTGAATAGCAGATAAACACCCACATTTAATCTTTGCTCGTGCGTTAGGACACATCAAGCTGTGTGCGAGGGCACTGACCAGTCTTCTTTGCGGTTGAAGGATAACACTTCAAACTTAATTAGGACTTGTATTCAAGATTTGACCCTGAAAATAGCAAAACCACTTCCGAAACTCGTGTTGTCTTACAAATGAAAAATTTACACGCAGAAGTACTAAATTATTCAACATCTAGCAATGTTGAGAATAAACCTCCTTTCATCATTAAACTCCTATTTTGCTAATCCTGTGCCATTGTTTGTGCTATCTCTCAATGTTGTTAATTTCTCTTAAAAGTAAAGACTTGGCTAACGGTGAGAGATTGTGCTTAACTCCTCTGTTTCTTTGCTTCTCATTTTAGCACGGATTTTTTGTAAACGACCTGTTCAGAGACCTCCAAACTGGCCACTTACTGATCAAACTCATTGAAATTCTTTCTGGTCAAACTTTGGTAAGCGAGTTGGGTACCCTACACTTTTGGATCCATTGAATGGACTCATTTGTCGAACTCTTTACTATTAGCACTCTGAGATGCCAAGATTTTGCGCATTACGCTATGATCCACTCTAGAGTTGAGGTGGTATGTCGACTTTCGAGATGAAAAAATTTTGCATCTCTTTTTTTCCTTACCACTGTTTCACGGTTATGGAACGTGACACTGGAACTTTGTTTGTTTAAATCGTGTCTTACTTGCGTCAGAAAAGCAAAGCCAGGCAATGCAAATTGAGCTTTGCATGGCAAGTGTGTGTGGTTCTTTGCTTATATAATAAACACAGTCCTGCACTTGCCCTCTGGTAGATTCTCCTGTAAAGTTCTTACCTAACCTTTTTTTACGGTGCGGAGAAATGCCCATGATCATTCGAATGTCAGAACTTTTTTTGTGTTTCTTGGCCTGAATACGAATAATAGGGTGCGGACAATAATTCCTGTCTGTAAAAGACTTGCAAGGTTCCTAACGCAAAAGGACTTGATGTACCACCGGTGTTAAACCACGGGGTTCCATAAATAGTCATGGCATGTTTACAGAACAGAAGTGGAGACCAAAAGACGTTGGTAATGTGGAGAGATGCCTTTGGGCGAATACAACATCTTAGAGAGAAGAGCCGCCTAACGTTATACTTGAGTATGGTTGATCAACCGAGTTTCTTCGCTTCTTGACTTTCATTCACCACAAAGAGACACGTGTTGTCTTTCCTATTGTTTAGAGCATCGAATACGGTCTCACCCGAGTTCACTGCATCCAGAATGTTCAACGCGTTTTGGAGTTCCTTCAATTTCGGAAGGTACGCTTTCTAGACTACAAACAAAACAATCAACTGGAGCAAGGAGCAGAGAATCACACCTAACCCCTAATCACTTAGTGATTTATGCCTCGAACCATTTGTACGAAGAGGGCGGTTACAACCCCGCCTGAAACCAAATCAACCACAATTAGGCTTGAGTGGAAAAGGTTCGAATAATTTAATGGCACGCTTCACTAAACTGGTTATACGATCGTGCGAAAATTGCCCCTGTGGATGGGGAAATTGTGTGCACACCACAAACGCTTCTCCACTGCATGACTGCCATGGGTTTTGGCAAACCATAGACAGGCAATCAACTCTTTATTTACTGTGACGGGATAAGATTTGACTATTCAGAGCTTATTTTATGCCAAAAACTCTCTGATCATTACTGCGCAATTGAAGGACAAAGTGAACTGCCTAATGAAGCAATTTTGAAGTTAAATTAATCTCCCCTATACCCACCTTTTAATTATGGTGACTTAATTTCACTGACACGCCTTTGATTTCTCCAGGTTCGGATCGTGAACATCCGTCCGGATGAGATAGTTGATGGCAATCCGAAGCTGACCCTGGGTCTTATATGGATAATCATCCTTCATTTCCACGTAGGCTGTTCTCTTCCATGTTGTTGTGCAGATAGCTGCATACTGTAACGTTTTCTATACGCAAGTGAGGGTTAAAAGCTCAGATCATGGCCATGCACAGATTAACTTCGGCATTGAGCTTTCAGATAGCCAAGCCGTTTTTTTTTGATAGCATTATTGGGGGAGGGCCCAAAAAGTGGTGGTTTATGCATTTATATTCCATACTTATCCTCTGGCTGTATTCTTTTTTGTCTCTGTTGTCAGACTCTAAAATGGATGACATTCCTGAAAGCATGGAGCCAAATTTTCATGCCTACCTTCAACTAACCAAAGATCACTTTGGCGTATTTGATAAATCTACATTTACAAAAGCTTAAATTGAAGATTATTTGCTTGAACTCTCTAGTATTTTGTGATGAACCCGATTAGTCTTGTCCTCGTAGTGGTTTTATGCCCAGTTCACTTCATCCCTGTCATGTCCTTGCTGCCAACAATTGATACCTGAGTGTGGATGCTCTGTAACAAGTAATCGGCCTCTGAAGTTTAAAAAGGTCATCCAATAGAAAATCAAAAAACTCTCGAACATCAGCTATTGTCAGGCCCCGTGATATGATGTGGGGACAACTGATGTCAGGTCGACAAATTGAATTCAGTGTTATTCTGCGTCACACCTCAGTGACATTTCCGTCAAAATATATCAATTTTTGACCTCTTTAAGGAGGTTCGAAATATCCTTGTTGAACTGTATTAAAATTTCTTCCCCTTTAGCTGTCAGATCTTCTCCATTTGCCATCTGGAGTGGTGATCGGCACAGAGAATGCCCTACCACCAGACTTAACAATTCCAGAAGGTCGACTGCTCCTCGATAACGGGAGCGGCTCTCTGCAAAGTTTGGCTCTGTTGGATGAAACTGCGGGTCGAAATCTCCTCGCGTGGTGTAGAGCCGTGACTACAGGCTACCGTGGTGTAGATATAAACGACTTTTCTTCTTCCTGGAGTGATGGACGCGCCTTTCTTGCCATCATCCACCGCTACAAGTGAGTGAAAGTTCTAGAAAAGAATGCGCTCTCATTAGCAGGCAAGATTTATTCATACGGGGGTCACATTTTTCCATTGTTTCTTTTTTAAATACATCAAATTTTGTTTTTCTTGTTTGGGTACCGAACTCTTAGTTGAATTGTTATTTCAAAATATATTGGAAGGTTTTGCTTTGCGACTGCCAGACTTTGTACTTAAACGTAAACAATAATTGTGATTCATGGATATGATCTTTTGAGTCCACTGGACTGATCTTGCCACTTTACACGCAATCTAAATCAGCTTTGAAGGAATGTGGTCGAGGGTCTACGAGTTGCTGATAATCTGAGATGTCTAAAAAGAATATCTCCATAAATTAGCCTTCGACCACCTCTTAATGGTCTGAAGACTTAAAAGATGAGCTTTTAGCTGTGCACAGCTAGCATAGGGGTTGAACCGAGAGGAGTTACTAACATTGGTGTGGCTGACAAGAGTCCAAGAAGGCTTGACACATTAAGTGATTTACGTCTTATTATGAATTTCAATCTTGTTGCTCGTGGCTGATGGTTTGTCACTCCATAACTCTCTTCGTCGTTTTCCTCCCAGCTCACTCGGTTCGAAAATTGCATTCATGATCTCGGGTTAAGAGGGAAACAAAAGCCAAAGTTACTATGCGGCACAGGTGTAAGCCAGTCAGTCATCCCACGGTTGCCATTTGGTGCATCACATTTTACCGGTTCACAAAATTCTGAGCACTGAACGCATCGACATATTTTATAGGTATCGTAATGTTGATGAGCACATTCTCCTATCACTCCGTTTCAATCACTTCGGAAAAAGAAAAGATAGACAGTTTTCATAATGGGAGAGAAAAACTTGAGAGCCGTTAATCGTTTGAGGAAGTAGAAGCTGTGGAAAACTGAAACTGCACAACTAAATCCGTAGATATTCACTGTTATAAACGCTTCTGTCAAATGAAAGCGCAACTTCTGACTGGGATTACGCAATCAGTGTTAAACTCAAGACAGCATTTCACTCTCACGTAACAATAAAACCTCCATAAATTACCTTGATTGCTTCTTTGGGGCATCTACGGCACTTCCACAGACACACGGTGCTCTGAAGAGCGAAGGCTTTAGGTCCAGTTGTAGTTGAATCATCTTCCATTCTTCTGAAAGCGATAATTCCACGCCCAAACAAGGGTTAACACCTATTCAATGATTTGCGATCCCCAAATTAAACGAAACTTTAAAGAACTTTGTACCAAAATCAACTAAGAGATTTTTCTTAAGAATTTTAAAAGCTGCTTATTCTTTTTGAAACTTGGCATACGGAATTTGCAAGCCCAGTACACATAAATCTGCGAGCAAACAATCACACAGTGACTCATGCAGTGTATGCCTCATGTGTTTCCACCATTGACAAGTAGTGATATTGATAGCATTGAATGACAAAGATGAGATATTGTGTGTATTTTGTAGACCTCATTTCTTTGACTACTCCAAGGCGGCCAGTCGGCCGCCAAAAAATGTCCTCGACTTCGCCTTTCGTATTGCTGAAGAGAGACTCGGCATAACCCGGCTTATCTATCCTGAAGGTAAACGTTTCCTCTCCTCCATGCCAACTCACTCATGCCCACCCACACCCCCTCTTACATGCACCTGCCATTCATTGGGCCTCTCACTTGCTACTTTTGCAGCCTTCAGTTTGTCACCAACTCGCATAGGGGAAGAGCACGCAACTTTGCTGTGGTGCGCCCACCACGATGACTGGGCTGCATGGTAGGGGTCACATGAGGTGGTGGGATGGACACGCATACTGCAAAGTGTGTGAGGTCGCCTTGTCACTGCATTGGGTGTGCCGCGTTGTGTTAGTCTGGCGTTTGTTGTAGTTGGACTTCATGATTCCACGAATCGGAAAGGTGATGATGGGAGTGTTGTAATGGTTTGAGGCGAGGGCGCAAGGGAAGGAATGAACTCGTTGTCATGGGAGAGAGAAGAGAGTATGTCCTGGATTGTGGTAAGAATCCGCGTGCAATGTTTCTGGTTGGGTGGTAGGAGGCGGTGGTTGTTGCTGTGGGGGAAGGAGGGGAGAAGGCCACGAACACTTTGGAGAGAATCGTGACGAAACGTACAGAATTACTATTGAGAGGGCATTGGTGACAGTAAACCTCCTTCTGTTTTCTTTTTCAAAATTATCAACCGACACAATAGTAACTTCCATTTCACATAGCTTGAATGAACGATCGTTTTTTAGGGAATCTATCTTTTTAGTCTTTTGTAAGGCCTAACTCTTCTGGAATGCTTATGCGTTGCGACTGAAATTGCTTTTTAATTATTTCCGTTCATGTATTAAGGAAATAAAAAATATTGGTAACTCAGGGAGTCAGTTTTGCGAATGGATGCATACAATTGTCGCAGTGCCGCAGCATTATAAACTTCTCATTACTAGTAATAATGTTCTGTTATTTTCAGACATGGTGGGCACAGAGAACACAGTTGATAGTCGGTCGGTGATAGTTTACGTCTCATCCCTATACGACGCTCTCGCCCTTTCTCCACGAGACCTCATTACTGGCTGTCGCCAAATTCTTCCAATCCCGCCTCTTCCAGTAGATGTGGACGTAGCACTGGCACCACCACCACCGCTTGGCTCTCAACTAGTGACAACGGCTGATGTATCCGAGGAAATACGCACATTATGGTCAGAGTACCGACTACTTGCTGCTGAGTTAATCCAGTGGTTGCGAGCTGCTTGCGACCGTCTGGCAGTTCGACATTTTCCTGCCGACTTAGAATCAATGCAACAGCAGGTCGTTAATGATCTTAAGCGACACAGACGTGAAGAGCTGCCCCTAAGAGAACGGCAACGTCAACAGTTGGTCAGACTCTATGCTGATTTGCAGGTTAGTCTTCTTCGAGGGTATAACAAAAACAATTTGCTGGTTGAGGCCTGTGTAGTGTACTAATTCAGTGCACACTGAACAACATAAGTTTATTCCTGCTCTCCTGTCGGAATTTTACTACCATTAGAGTTTTTCTTCCCATGTGGTATAAAGTTATTGCCTCCTGCCTTATAACTTCTAGCAGCTTTTGGCAAATAGATCATTAAAATGTGAAGCTACACCAATTCAGAAAAGGAACAAAACTTTGTCTTTCATTGTCCATACTGCTTGCGATGAAAAGGTTTTCAAACAATTTATTCTCGCGACTTTTTGAACACAGCTGTGAACTAATAAGGTGCTGATTAACCTAACGACGAAGAAGTTTCTACGAAATAGATTCTAACAGTTGAAAGGTGCTTGAAAATTGCATATTTTACCTCCATTCAAGTCAAGAGGGGAAAGAAGATTTTCACGCTTTGTATTCCACTAAAATATTCACAATGTCTTCTGGGGATCGCTCTGCGCCAAAGCTTTTTCTAATGCCATCTTTTAGTTTCCAAGTGAAAATAAGGAAGGAAAGTTTTATGTAGAGTCACTTTGACGATACCGATTTTTCGTTTTCATAAGCAAGGACCTGAGCAAAGGGCTTACTCTCCACTTATTAGTTTAAAATGGGGCATTTTTACTCCCTTTTTACTGTTTATGATCCAACAATTTTATAGCATTTATTCAGGAATCTCCTCATTTTCCTACTTTTACGGTAAACAGTATCCGCTCTTGTCGGTTGGTCCTCATCAAGAAGTCGATTTCAGTCATTTTCATCCGATTCATCATCCATATAGTCATTTCATGGCGCCACTGCTGCCTATTTTGATCCACCATCAGGTTACTTAATCAGAAATCTCCACATTGGAATGAGGAGATTTGAACTTCCGTTTGGGTTACGATAAATCACACTCTCTTTCACATCTCTACGTTATAACTTTCGCAATCACCTTCAACAGCGAGCGCCCACTTTCGTGTACCTTGACTGGTGGATGAAACCACCCCCTTGGATCTCTGGCAGGAAGTGCTAAATAATGTGCACCTCCTACCGCTTCCCTTTGGAGTAAAGCAGTATGAAGGCTTATAAGCCTCTCTGGAATAGGCCACCGTTGAATGCATTGCTATTTCTAGTTCATCAAACCCATCCATACTATTTTATAACACTTAATAGAAAATACTTAACCGAATTTGACCTCAACTGGACATCGTTAAGGAAAGCGTGGCTGTATGAGATTATTAAAATCTCCGGTGCTTTAACTAGCATCCATTGCTGTACCGATGCAGGCAAGTGGTTCATATAAATAACTTTTGATTCCAGCCCAGCTCTGTGGCATTTCGCAGGCCTATAATAAGTAAATATGGGACTCATGAGAGTACCATATCCCCTTTGAACTGTCTACGATCTGCACCAATGATACTTTCAATCTTTGACACTGACAGCACTGACAGTTAACAACACACGGCTTTTGGAGGAACTTTACTCTTTACCTTCTAAAATCGCGAATAATTTCGTTTAGAAACAGGCATATGCGAATAGAGACTGAGCCACCTTCCTTCAGTTCTCCTTAAACCAGGACCACAATAAACGAGGAAATCAAATTACCCGATTTGAGTGAGATAATGTGATCATTCCCCACTCCACTGGTCCTGCAGCCATAGGAGTCACCGCTAACTTTGGGCAAATGGACAAAGCTGACTAGTATTTAAGGTATAAACTCCACCTCCAAACCTTTGGCGAAAGAGGGACATAACCTTGTGCATCATTAGTGGCAAAATGTGTAGTTAAATTAAAGAAGGGGAAGTGAGGTATCCTAATTTTCACGTTTGTAATGGGATAAGTTGTTCATTTTAATTATTCCTCTGTGAAACGGTTTACTGATTACGGGGATTTGTCATGTGCCAATGCGTGACAGAATGGGAATTAAAAGAGGCCCAAACACCTTTATCATCCATATTATTATTGAAAAGCAAACATTTTAGTGTTATTTAGCACCTGTCACAGTGTATTTTAAACAACTGGACATCAGTCCACTCGCAGACTACCGGCACATTTGATGAGCGATTTATTACCCAAACTGGCTGGAAAGATTATTTG